TTCACAATGAGCTCACCCGAAACTCTGGCTGATTGTGACCCACACCCAGTTTCACACCTTGGCTTAGGCGATTAGAGGATCATCAGGGGGTCCTTTTGTCCCTCTGTGGGGGGATACTCCCACTAGGTTTAAATCTGGGATTGAACTGAATAAAAATTCTATGGCTTTGCTCAGTGCTAAAGTGTTTTAGTTGGGTAGGAAATCTGTAATAATTGTAATACTTTTTTTTGCCAGAACTACTTGGTGTCAGTCAGAATTGTTTGGAGATTTAGTGATAGAATGGCTATGAATGTGAAGGAAGTTCAAATAACCTAAAATCACCCTTCAGACAGGCCTTCACTTAAAATGTGAATCTCTTCACTTTAGCTTACCATATATACTGTACTTATTCAGGATGGCACAAAATTAACTTGAAAACTACCTCACCCCAAAATTGCATAAAACTACCAAACAAAATACATTTTTCAATTTCAAGTTTCAATTTCTTAGTTTCTATTACGGTGCATTAATTTTTTTTTAATGGTGTCCAGTTTGAGACCTTTGATTGTCAAACCAAACACGCCCATTATGACACAGAGGAAAGATTTACGCAGTGCTTTGTGCAACACAAACCCACAACTGCAAGTCCAGGAAGTGAGCTGTTACAGTCTACTAATCAGATTAGGTAAGTGAATCTGTAAAATAAGCTTTAAGCACATTTTAGAATTTACTGGAGCCATCAAACTAACACTATTTTATTAAGAGCAAGATGCTCCATTCTGTGCATGGTAAATCAGGGAAAAACAAAGCTGAGTGCCTTATTTTAAGTTAATTCAAAAGGTCTATCATCTCGTCTAGAACAATGGCTGGAGTTTGTGTGTAAGGTGGGGGACTCCCCCAAGCTTTTAGCATTCAAAACCTTGTTACTGTTAAATACTTACATTTCGTCAAACTATATCTATTTAATTTATAACCAGAAAGATGCATAAGTAAAAAATTAGATTAACAGCAGAACTGACCCATGATTATTGTTATCGTGGTTTCTCAGATAAAGTTTTATACTATGAAACTTTTTCATTTCCTTCTTTTGTTCACCAACTGTATTCAACTTTTAACTCAATTCTAATGTGCTTGCCAAATATTCTCTCACAAATTATAATAATTCTGTCCCTATAACTTGAATAACAAATCAACATAGAAACTAATGATTAGGGGGAAACCCAGGTATGGGTCTGTCTGGCAAACAAGTGTACTTTTTATTGAGAAGGTGCTGACTCTACCTCTCACCCACAGAGATACCAAAAGAGGCATGAACAACTCTAAAGTGCTCTAAAGTCTTTATGGTAAGTGTGATCTTCTACTGCACATTTTGGTGCACTGGCATTAATAGAAAATAATAATGAATATTAAGTTTTGTTTTGCTGTTCTTAGACACGTTCATAAAAATGGAGAGCAACTCATCTGAAATGGGTGAGTATAAAATCTTGTATATCACTAGAACATATTAGATAAGGATCTGATACAGGTAACAATTACTGTATAGTACAGTACAGTTACTATAGTATAGATTCATTTGAATTAATTTATGTTGCAGCTTGTTACTATTTCGATAAAGAAATAAAGTTACAATATATTTATGATATAAGATTAAGACGGTACAATATTAAGAGAAAACACCAAAAATGACATGACCCCCTATGAACAAGCACTTGGCAACAGTGGGAAGGAAACGTTCCCTTTTAACAGGAAGAAACCTCCAGCAGGATCAGGAAGAGGCAGCCATTTGCCATGAATGGTTAGAGGTGATGGAAAAGAGAAAAAAGAGCAGAGTGAGATGGGACAGAAAAAGAAGACTGAAGAGAGCCAGAGTTTAAAATAATTACTAATGACTAAATGCAATAGTGGTGTATAAATACCACACCATGTCTAAGTGAAGATGAGAAGCTTGAAGAAACCTGCATCATGGCAATCCCCCAGCAGCCTAGGCCTTTTTCAGCATAACTAAGGGTGGGTTCGGGGTCACCTGATCCAGCCCTGAATGAAATTAATTCAACAATGCTGTGTATTATATTATGGTGATTTTAAATGTTATAGGGTTTTTTTCAGAGAATACTGTTACCATGGACAATAGATAACAACAAATAAAACTGGGTTATGGGCTGTAATCATCAGGCTGTAACCAGGTTTCTGCAAGGCAAAGTAAATCAATATGTTGATAAATTATTAAATAATTTAGAGACACATAATGATTAGTGGTTCACATTTTTTATACTTAATACATAATTTTACTTAATTAGCTTTTTATTGATTTTGAGTTTGGGAGAAAACACAATCTCTGGGGATGGGGGTTTAGGGTGATGACAAGCAGAGAGAAGCTGCAGAGAGGCGCATAAGACTGCTTCCTGGTCCCAACTCTCGATCATCATATTTGGGGTGTCTAATAAACTCAACTATGGAGTCTCAGGCTTTACATTTCTTAGACTCACCAATAAACCAAGTTTTATTCTTGGTGGGTATGTTGAAAGGTAGGGAAAATTAATTTGAAACATGTACCAGGACTTTTTTGCACTACGCAAATATAACAATCTTCACTTAAACACTTGATTTCCAAAACACTCCCACTGTGTCTTGATGCTGCACAAAATATGGAACAAAACTGTAACAAAGATGTTACAAATACATTTTAGGTTAGGGGATTTGGCCCAGAGAGTTGCTTCTGAAACATGTTGCAGTACTTCTTGTGGAATTGCAATAATTGTCTTGTGATCAATTCAGGCAGATGTGAAACAGCCATATCAGGTGTATTCTCATTATAGTCCCTGTCTTAAACCTTTGAAAATTAATTAGTGCTTAAACACATTCACTTATTTTGGTATTTGCATGTCTATGCAGGTTTATATTCACTCATCTTAGGCATGTTTTACTTTATATAGAGTGGGGAATAATGATTATTTGATCCCTGCAAAATTTGTAAGTTTATTTGAAAATAAATGAACAGTCTCTATTTTTTATGGTAGTTTCAGTTTAATGGAGAGAGACAGAATGTCAACCAAAATTCCAGAAAAACAAAACAGAACAAAAAAAAACATTACATAAAAGCTATAAGCAGCTTTGCATGTCATGCATGCATGTCATCTGCAAGAAACTTGGTGCAAAGGTGACTGTTAGTGAACTGTGTGATTATACAGAAATGGAAAAAATATAAAATAACCACCTAAGATCCCAAAAAAATCGGATTTGATCAAAGATTTGGAATTGAGCATTAAGACCTGCAGTGTGAACGTAGCCTAAGTGACTTATATATCAAAACCTGCGTAGCGAAAGACCGCTGGGGGTTGAAAACGATGTGCCAGGAGTCCGCTCACCAGCTTTAGTGAGCCTTGACCAACCAGCCAGCGATCGAGCTGTTGGGTAACAGACATCTCCGAAAACGTCAGAGCACTTCGGGGAGAAATGGAGCACTTTTGCAAATATGTGATGTCTTGATAAATCAAGCAGATATTTTAGAAGTTTACACAGCTACATTCTTGCCTCAAAATATCTTAAAAGTGCATTTTGTGACTCAGAAAGAGTAATATTAAAACTAAGTAGCTGCTGCCATTGTTGGGAACTGGAATTGGCTGGGCCACGCTATGAATTCTGGGATAGGTTGGGCCACAAAGGATACACCCGACCCATCCTTTAAATCCGGGGAAATGAAGGACACATTTGTCGGTCGCATTTGGAGCAGCCTTCGAATTGGGACAGCCTTCATTGCCTGGCTGTGACATAATCGGCCTTCAAATGCAGCCTCCGAAGCATGATGCCTAGGAATTGGGACATACCTTAAAACCCCTTAGCAGTCCAATTAGTCCCCTAAACCATCCAATGTACCGTGGGCGGTACGTCCGACTGCTAACAGGTTAAGACACCTGGGCTTGACACTGGGACAGGGGGACAACGGACGTGGAGACATGACCGACTGGGGAGACAGAAAGGAAATGCCAAACACAGAGAACGAGATAAACAAACATGACGACAAGACTGACTAAACACAGGAGCAGATTAGCTACTGAGGAAGTAAAAACTCTAAGATAACAGAAGGCTAACTGAAACAAATTTATCAAACCTTATACAGAATGTAAATATAACCATGAAACTAGGAAGCACATAGAATATTCCAATAAGTTGGATGAACTAACTATTTAGATGCAATTCAATACTATGCAATATTAAACTAAAAGTTAAATTAAAAGTTAATATAAAACTTGGGTACAATTAGCCTTCACACCTACCTTGCTGTCAAATGAGGTGAAACACAGGTGGCAGTCTAGCTCAGTGGGATGAGCGAGCAACCATATACCGTATGGTGAAGAGTGGCCGGCTCGGGTTCAAGTCTGATCCATGGCCCTTTGCCACATGTCTTCCACTTTCTCTGTCACTCTTCACTGCTCTGTCCAATAAAGGCCAAAAATAATATATATTTTAAAAAAAACACTATAGCATGATAAAAAGCTCTTCTATGGTATGTAAGTTCACCACATTAATACAACTGTAATGGTAAATAGACTGGTTCTTATATAGCGCTTTTCTACTCTGTCTGAGCAGTCAAACAAATAGTATATAACTAATTCATTCACCCAATCACACAAGCACTTCTTCTAAGCTCTTAAGTGCTCTATTTTACATTCATACACACTCACACTCTGATGGATGGAGAGCAACATGGGGTTAGTATCTTGCCAAGGATATTTAGCTCGCATGAATCATAGGGATACCTGCAAACAATCGAGAAGACTTTGCGGATGCATTAGAGTACATTGAAAGGTGCTTAAAAGGCCAAGGAACATTATATATGAGCCATAATAATAATAAATTGTTTATCGCAGTGACAGCAGAAGAGACACACTGAATGTTGTTTTTTGGTTTTTTTAGTCTTTAAAAGAAATTTTAAATTTTCTTTCAGACTGGCGTGAGCTGTCATATGCCAACTGGACAGAATCTCATGTGAGTTCCTGGCTCAGATCCATTGGAATAAAAGAAGTGCATATTATAAAAATGGAGGAGGAGGAAGTGACAGGACCAATTCTCACAACTTTACACCAAGATTTCCTCAGAAAAACAATTGGAATGAAAAGTGGCCAAATTGAACATTTATTGAAGAAACGAGATGAACTTTTAATACCACAACAGCAGAAAATAAAACAGAAGAGTGATCTGTCTGGTAAGAGTAGAGATGGCAAAAAAGAAACTGTTGAAGATATAGGACAAGAACCACAGCTTTCACCATTTCATCACAAACCAGAGCATAAAAAGAATCCTACAGATAGTAGTGAAAACACGTCATCTACAGAAGTAACTCTATCTTTTTGTGACTATCGCAAATTTGACCAGGATGAAAAGGACTTCAGGTACGTGAAACATCATGTGCTTCCTCCTGAGACAGGGACTGAAAACATGATGGTTCCATGTCATGAATATAAGTCGCTTGAGATTGCATACAAACTAGACTCAAAGAGGTTACAAGTAAAAGTAGCCAGTGAAGTACTAAGATTTGCATGCGCATGCATGAATATGAGAGCAAATGGGACAATTCACTTTGGCATCATGGATAAAGTCAGAGGAACTCACAAGCATGGAGAAATCATTGGGATACCTGCAAACAATCGAGAAGACTTTGTGGATGCATTAGACTACATTGAAAGGTGCTTCAAAGGGTCAAATCAACAAAGTGATGCCAGGAGTTGTATAAGGCACCCGCGATTCATTGAGGTGCTTGACAAGGAAAGTAGTGGGAACACATGGGTCATTGAATATGACATTGTCCCAAAAGCAAACATTGTAAGAGATAAGCTTTACTATGTTGGTGTTCCTAAATTCTCTGAAAAAGACAACAAAGTCAAATGTGAAGAGAAAATTCCCTATTACAGAGTTGGAGCAAACACACCACGTGTACCTGAAGACGACCTTGTTCCTTTCATTCAAGGACTGAGAGAAAAAGACCAACAGAGAGAGGAGGCAGAATCTACAAGCAATGAAACAACTCTGGACTTTGGCGAGGATCAAAAGAGGAAACTTTCTATCCTCCTAACATGTGGGAAAAAGCACATGGACAACTCTCTGTTTTACATTGTTGTAACAAACAAATTTCAACCAGCACATCTTGACAACATAAGCTTCTTAGTTCACATGAATTTATTCTGTGTGTTTGACTTTGACCCAGATTCAAAGACATCTGGTCTTTGTGGAAGATACAAGGAACAGAAGGTGACAAACCTCCACTTTCTTGATGATTATGCAAATGACAATAAATTGGGAAATACTAACATCATAAATTCTTTGCAACTTTTCGAGAGAACAAGTTGGATTTTTTGCAATGGAAGAAACAACTTCCCAGGTGGAGAACAACCCTGTGATGAGAAAACTTGGATCAAAACAAGAAAAAGGAAACTGAAAAAAGTAGTGTCACTCATCTGCAATGAGATACTTCCCAGAGGGTCATTTGTTGTCCTCTTCCTGCTCATGTCTGAAACTGAACAGCCACTTGTTGAAAATTTTCACGAATTCTACGCAGAGATGAGTGGACATGAATTTCTGACAGTCTTATCAGAGTCAAAGGAAATCTATAAGAAGTGGTCAAGTCTTGCCCAGGTGTCTTGCCCGATTTCTGATCTCAAAGAAATCAGCATTGTTGAAATGCCACTGAGTCATGTGGATGCCACAGTTCAAAGCATTCAACTATCAAAGAATCAACCCAGAAGGACATTACCAGTCCCAAATGGAGGCTTGTGCTTCATAAAGTCTGTTGAAGAGTCTATGCTAGATTCTTTGGAAATCATCAGTGTTGACCAGTGTGATGATACAAAACTAGAGATCATGAATGAGGAGAAAATGGAACAAACTGAGAGCTACTTCTATCGAGGTGGAAAGATCAACTGGATCAACTTCTGGCTTGCTGATAAACATAAGTGTGGTATGATAATAGAGAGGGATGCCTACAAGGAAGCAAATACCTTACTAGACAACATAGTATATCGTAATAAAGCCAAACGCCCCATAGAGAGTGTGAACATATACCATCATCCTGGCAGTGGTGGAAGTACAGTGGCACGGCAGATCCTCTGGAGGTGGAGGACTAAAGTGCGATGTGCAGTTGTTAAACAGGGTAAGGAAATCACAACTGTGTGTGAACATGCAATGAAACTGAGGGAACATGATGAGACAGACAAAAGCAAATGTCTCCCAGTGCTCCTCCTATTAGAGGACTACAATAAGGATTATATTGACGATCTCAGGCGTCAACTTGGAAATGTCATTGCAACCAAAAAGATAAGTCCCTCTGTGTTGTGTTTTATCTTGCTCATCTGCAGCAGGTCAAACGATCCAGAAAGAATGTGTAGAGCATTACCATCTCAAACAATAGCAGTCACTCACAAGCTGTCTGCAGACGAGAAGCCTCAGTTCTCAAAAAAGCTTGAGCAACTCAAACTGCAGTTTGAACCTGACTTCATCCTCACATTTGTACTGATGAGTGAAGGGTACCAGCCAAGCTACATTGAGGACTTTGTAAAAAATCTTCTAGATAAAATCGATCATTCAACACCAATAACTCGTCTCATCAGATTTGTGGCTCTCCTGAACTGCTATGTCGATGATTCGTATATATCTGTATCACACTGTGAGACATCTCTCGGCATTACTACCCATTTTGACAAAGCTCAGTACCATGCCTTTGTGGATCATCTAAGTGATGAAGCCAGGCTCATTTTCATCCACCTTAACCAAAGTTCAACACACATCCCATCAATACGAATTATTCATCAACTGGTGGCAAAAGAAATTCTGAGTCAGCTGTCTGCTAATTTGCCTCAGAGTGATATTGCCATGGATCTCATCAGTGATAAGGTACTGATCAATCACAGGTTTGACAGAGATGAGTTTCTGAAGTTCATCAGAGCTCTTTTCATTAGACGCAACAAGAAGAGCAGAGGAGATCCTAAAGACACAACTTTTTCACCACTTATTGAGCATGTCTGTGATGTTGATAAAGGGGGTGTTCAGAAAGCTGTTGATCTCATGAAAGCTGCTTACATAGCTTTGGGAAAAGATGCACATGTGGCACAACAGCTTGCTCGGCTGCATTACACTAATAATAGATTTGAAGAGGCTCTTGAATGTGCAGAGGAAGCAAAATCTCTTCTTCCATATGACACATTTATACTCGACACAGTAGGACAAGTTTATAAGCGGTGGTTTTATCACTTGTATGATACCCTTGAAGAAAAAGAACCATCTCCTGAAAGGTGCACTGAAATCATAAGCACAGCACTCAAAGGAATTTCTGCCTTTCGGGCCTCTGAAAAAACACCAATATATGATACTGTCAGCTTTAACAATTCATACTATGGGGAAGTAGATGTTGGCTGCAGGCTCCTAAAATTCCTGTCAGGAGTAGACGTTTTTTCAAACGCTACTGGAAAATCAGAGCTGATGCAGTACCTGCTAACAGACTACATACCAGCAGAGGTCAAAACACCCTGGCAGAAGTTTCATCAACAGTTGAAAGGCTTACAGAGGAGCTTGAGCCAAGCACTTGAGTACATTTCTGAAGATCTTAGCTACTTTCAAACTGATATTAGCGAAGATGATGAAGAACTCGATGCAAGAGATCCAGAGCAAGTGTACAATCCTAGAAAGTGGTTGACAAAGAAGAGTGCTGTATATGCTGGATTTTTCTGCAATGCACCAGATGAGAGTGATCAAATAGCTGAAAGCAAAAACACTGACATGGTTGGTCCAGTTGAAAAGCTTTCTCCATTCCAAAGACAGATGAGGGCCTACAATCTTGGTGGAGGAAATGTTACATCCATCCTCTCACTATTTTATGACAAAAATGCAAAGAACGCAGGAAAAAAACTTGAGACAATCTTTAGCCTGTACCCAGAAAATCTGACCTGGAAGGACCTTGATCCAAAAGAACTCACAAACTTCATCTTTTGTCAGATAGCTCTCAACTGTATTCTACCTGGTTCCTCAAAGCTTCTGTCTCTTCAAAAGCTACAAGAACTCAGCAAGAGGTTTGTGACAACGGGGAAACAGATGTCATCAGCAAGCGCTCTCTTCCTTCTCTCCCTTCTGTTTTGGCCTGAGACAAGTAATGAAGTCAGTCATAATGACACTGAAATTCTTTTATCTGCCATTGATGCCCTTCAAAGACTCTGTGAGCAAAAAATCCAGCACAAATCTCAGCGGAAAAGCAGAATTGCGACACACTTCTTTTTGGCAAAGGCAAGAGGGCTTAACAAGATTGTTCACAAAGGTGCTATCGAAAAGGAGATTAAAGGCCCTCTAAGTGAAAGAAAACTAAAATGGCTGGGAGGAGAAGTATGGAAAACAAAACAAGTTGTGCAACTTCTCAAACGGGTTGAAGGGTGGACAGAAAATGAAAACTTGTTTGTGAAGTGTGGAAGCGGAGGCAGCAAGATCAGAGTCATTCCTCGATATAGTTCCTCCCTGCCACATGGAAATGAAAAGGTCACTTTCTACTTGGGCTTTTCATTTGATGGAGTACTTGCCTTTGACATCCAAGTGATGGAATAATATCTGCAGTGTAAATGTGCAATATGTATGTGTCTATATTAGAGATGGACTGATCCGATATTAGGTATCGGCCCAATACAGACGTAAATTACTGGATCGGATATCGGAGAAAAATAAAAAAATGTAATCCAATCCATTAAATATCAAAAAAGCACCTCACAAAACTTGCGACATGCCGTAACTCTGCTCATAACCGTAGCACGTAGGAGCAGTATGCATCACGTGATAGAGCGGCTGTGTGTATTTGTAGCCTCGCTAGCAGTCCAGCATTTCATCCCCGAGAGAAGTAAAGCAAATGTGTAAGTTCATCTCTGAATGTTTGTAAAGCGTTCCCACGTTAAGCTTAACAA